CCCACAGCCTCTCCCCCCTTCCCCTCCCCTCTTCTGTAAACCATGGTTGAAGTTTAAACAACCCGGAGAGATTTTTCTCACCAGTCTTATTTTACTAATAGGAAACAAGTGTTTAAAGGGAGCTTTCAGCTGCTGGCCAAGGAGCCCCTGACTCTGCCTGCAGAGCTGGGAGTCCCAGTAATCCTTGGGACACGCATATGTGTGCACTCTGCTATGGTGGTAGTGGGGAGCAGCCTCTGCTTAATGAGGTGCCTGGTGGAGGGGCTCAGGGTGCAACCACAGATGAGATCAGACAGACCCCACAAGTGCAAATCTTTGTTGCTTGGCCATCAGCTGTTTCCATGTTGGATGAGTGGTTGAGTTGGAGAAGGTGCTAGCTCAGGGAGTGTGGGGTGCTCTGAGGGTGGATGCTGTGCTGGCTGCCAGCACGCAGCTGGGGCTGAATTTTGGAGGGGAGATGGAAAGAGGAGAAACCTCACCTGTTTTTCTGCCCTTGAATATCCTTCCAAACCTCTCCTGCCTGTCCTTGAGCTTTAAGCTCTAAAAGAGCTGTGTTTTCTGCCACTGGGGATATAGGGCTTTAATTGGAGCAGCTCAAGTTTACCATGCCTTCCTGTTATAACCCCCTTAAGCCTTTTATCTTTTGGGCCTGAAGGAATGGTCCTTACAGCAGTCTGCATTCTCCTGCATTACTTTACCAATGGACAGACCTCTCCTCTCCTCTCCTCTCCTCTCCTCTCCTCTCCTCTCCTCTCCTCTCCTCTCCTCTCCTCCACGCTTTCTTCTCCTTTCCCTTTTTCTTTTTCTCTTTCCCAGTCTGTCCTTTCCACCCAATATAGATATAGATATCTACATGTTCTTTTCTCTTTGTAGGAACTTAGCTATTGGGATTGGCATTCAGAACTTCCCTGAAGGCCTTGCTGTCAGCCTGCCTTTGCGTGGTGCAGGATTCTCCACATGGAAGGCGTTCTGGTAAGCAAAGCTCTGCCAGAGCAGAGACCCCTGACCTACAGCTCCTATAAGCAGGTTCCTGTGACTTGCTGCCCTGCACCCATTTGCATTGCCTGCCCAGGACACTGGTGGGGTCACCGTCCCCGGAGTTGTGGCCCTGAAGGACGCAGTTTAACAGGCACAGTGGGGATAGGTTGGGATGAGACTTGGTGATCTTGGAGGTCTTTTCCAACCTTAATGATTCTTTGATTCAGTTGTTCTATTTGTGATTCTACTGGGCTGCCTTTGGGATGGACTTGTGTTGGCCATGGACTCCATGGAATGCTCAGCCTGCAGGCTGTAGACCAGCAGCTCCTGCAGCCAGCATTGCCCACGGCTGAGCCTGGGGCTGCTTTCCAGCTCCCTGCAGTGGGTGCTGCCCCAGTGCCCTGAGCTCAGAGCAGGGCTCAGCCCCGAGCCCTGCGATTCGCCCCATCGTGGCTCAGTGCCTGTGGTTAGCTCCCAGATCCTGCACCAAAAGGGGATTTTTACTTTGTTTTCCATTTTTCTTTTTTTTTTTTTTTAATTCTCTCACTTCACTCTGGGCTGCATTTCAAACCCACTTTGTTTTTTTCCTTTTCCCTGAGGTGAAAAAGCCAAGGCCATGAACTCTGCAGGCACAGGGCTGCGTTCCTGCCTGTGCACGTGTGCTGCGCTTGGGTGATGGATGGGAGGGTGGGGGGGCTCGCAGGCTGCTCCCTCCAAAGCTTTGTTTTCTTATCCTCCCACCCATCTCCATTGCAGCGAGTGCTGGGGCTGCACCAGGGCTGCTGAGGAATGAGTTCCCATGGTCACATTAAAACGATCTCAGAAGGAAAGAGAACTGGGGAAAAGAGTGGGGAGGTTGTGGCCAGATGCCCCTTTTGAGACTCAGCTACACTGGTTGGAAATATTTCCTCTCTTAGCTGCTCCTGGATTCCCAGATCTCACAAGGGGAAGGCATTGGATCATGTCTGAATTCCCTTCTTGGACAAATCAACATGGTTTGATCATATTTCCTTTGCTGCTCAGTGCTTGCTGTGTGTGGAGTGAGCTGTGCGGCCCTGGCCTCAACCCTGGGGGAATCAGGGGATGCCCAGTGACTTTCAGTCCCACTGTCCCACAGGTATGGGCAGCTGAGCGGCATGGTGGAGCCCCTGGCTGGCGTCCTAGGAGCCTTCGCCGTGGTGATGGCAGAGCCTCTCCTCCCCTATGCCTTGAGCTTTGCTGCTGGAGCCATGGTCTACGTGGTCATGGATGATATCATCCCAGAGGCACAGACCAGGTGAGACCCCCAACTGGCCCTAAATTCAAGTGAAATATTACCAGTTTGTTCTCAGAAAGAGCAATCAGGCACTGGCACAGGCTGCCCAGTGAAGTGGTGGAGTCACCATCCCTGGAGGTGTTTGAGAATGGTGGAGACGTAGCACTGAGGTCAGTGGGCACGGTGGGATGGGTTGGCAGAACTCACGGCCTCCCCTTTCTCCCTGCAGTGGCAATGGGAAGCTGGCTTCCTGGACCTCCATACTTGGATTCGTGGTGATGATGTCCTTGGATGTTGGCCTTGGGTAGGCAGCTCACTGCTCCCCAGGAGAAGACTTCACAGCAATTCCCATGGTGGCATTTTTGGAACTGGACACGTGTTATGCTTTAGACTTTTTTGGTATATATATATTTTTTTGATCTGGTTGGTGTTAATTTCCTATAATTTTATATATCTCTTCCTCATAACATCAAGCCGATGGTTTTCAAAGCACAAATACGGATGGTTCCTTGCAGGTCCTGGTTTCCTTTCGCCACCAGATTTTTTTTCTCCAAGGTTACTGCGAGACGTTCTGGCCAGGCTGCAGATTTTGCTGCAGTTCTGGGGTGGCTCCTCTGATTCAGGTCTCTCTTGGTTTTGATCATCCTTGTAGAAGATTAGAAATTCAGCGTCGCGTGCTTAAGCTGGTCTGAGGTTAAGGACCAAAGTATTTGAATGCAGTAAACTCCTTAAGAGTCTCAATTTCCACTCCAGGCTTTGAATGGTGGAGGTGTTAGGACTGGGATGACACGTGCAGCACCCTGGGGGCAGCAGGTCTGGTGGATCCTGCAGTGCTAGGAGTGTGTCACAGTGCTGTTGGTCGTTTGAGAAGGCAACGTGTGCTCATCCACGTTGCTACATGATGGTTGTATGGCACAATGCATTTCCACCTGGGCTCATGGCTGTGCTCAGCACTACCACGCAGCTGCCATTCTCCAGCTGCTGTGCTGGGTTGTTTGTCACTCTGAGCACAGTGCTGTGTTACCTTGAGCCAGCTCTCGTCCTGCTGAGCAGCACTGGGATGAAATAACTCATCAGTGTGCGTTAATTACCCCCCCATGCACCATGTTTATCTGCCTCTTCATCCTCTTCCTTTCAAGCATCTCCTATCCAACAACCACGGGGTGGTTGAACCCATGCTTAAGGGGGGAGCAGAATGCAGGTGTGGGGAGGTCCACACTTTAGGGCTGCTCTGTTTTTCAGGAAGGCTAATGAGGCCCTCCAGCAGGTGTAACTGGATGGCCTGGCAGCATCTCAGCTGTACCTGCACCCAACAGAGCTGCAGAAAGGCAGCAGGGGGATGGGTTGGGTGAGCTAAGAGAGAGCCACGCACTTTTGTTTGGTTTGTTATTTCGGTTGGATTCCATTTGTACTTCATTTGTATGTCACTCTGGATGATACAAAACTACTGTTTGCCAATGGATTTGACCTTTTAACTGTGATTGGTTTCAATAAATGGGAAATTCAGCGTTTGCACGGATTTATTTTAAGGCAGTAAATCCGTACCTTTTCTTCTCCTCCCTCCGTTTTACTGCATTTCTTTTTTAATGGTTTGGTGGTTCTCAGCTTGCCAAATGTCCTGCCTCTCAACCAGGAAGGCAGCGAGCTTGGGGAAGGGAAATAACAAAACAAGAGCCAAGGAAAGGCATCTGCAGTGCATGGCACCCAAGAGTTTGTTTCACTGGGTGTACCGCAGCTTGCCCTGGCTCCAGCCCCTGACACTGGCTCATGCTTTATGACTCATTAAAAACCAACCACAACAAATCCCTCAGGAAGAAGAAAGCAGCCCTTGCGGACTCCTTCTCTTCAGCTGAGCTGTGATGGCCACGTCCCTGGGGGCACAAGGAGCTGGGACAATGGCCCTTTGTCCATGAGCTGCAGGTAGGTGAGCCCACCTCAACCTTGTTGGGCTCCAAAGGCTTCCCCTGGAACGTGGGCTCCAAAGGATTCCTATGGAACGTGGGCTCCAAAGGCTTCCCATGGAATGAGGGCTCCAAAGCCTTCCCATGGAACGTGGCAGCCCTGGAGGTGCCCACAGGTTGGGTTTTCTTGCGGGCTGCAAGTCGTGTTTTCTTGTTTGATTTCTGGCGTGCGGTGTAAGTTGGTACAAAAAAACACATTATGCATTTAAAGGCAACCTCGTAATCAGATTGCTGAGAGATAATATCACATAATGCACTTAATCCTGCTTAGATGTAGCCAGCCGAGATAATTATGTACATTGGACCTGGAGGGGAGGGCAGGAAGGCGATGCAGAAAACACAGATGAAAATCCTTCTTTTCTGTTTCTCCCCTGGAGGTGAATGAAATTATACATCTGTGTCTTGCCACGATTGAAGAGCTGGCTGGGGGCCAAGCCTGGAGTGACGTGTGGAAACAATAGCTGCCAATTAAAAGGTGGAGCCGGGAGCAAAGGCGACGCAAGCAGCAGCCAAGCGTGGGGCAGTGCTGGGCTGCAGGCACTGGGCAGGGGAGAGAGGAGCATTGGGGGATTTGTCCCACCTTGGTTCTGCCCCACATCACGCAGCTGGGGATGGAGAGCAGTGGGATGGTCCCTGCCTGCCGTAGGGTTGCTGTGGTCAATGGCTGCATCCTCTGCTTCATACCAGTGTGAGATAGCAGCATCAGGGCTGGGGATTTCCCCCTCTCTAGTTCTTCAGTAAAGCTCCACACAGACAGAAATGTTGGATTGCTGAGTTTTTAAAGTAATAAAGGCTTCTTGTGCTGGCTGCAGATAAACTTCAGTTGTGGCCCCAGTCCATCCAAGAAGCCTCAAAGCCCGAAAGGTAAAGATCTGTTCCTAAACAGCACGTGCTCTTGCTGTCTGATTTAACAGTAACCCCAAATACAGCTCTGTGGACTGCTTTCTGATAGCATTATGTGTAGTTTTGGGTTTTGTAAACTGTGCTGAAGAAGGAGAGGTGTGATAACACCTGAATTCTTCCCAGCCCTAGGGGAATGTGTTTATCAGCAGGTGGGCTCCCAGCGTTAGGAGGGTGGGGGTGTGAGCCCAGCTGAAGCCCAGGTGCCCCATTGGGATCTCTGGTACCTCTGCTGAGCAGTGCTGCTGCAGAAAAGCAATGCTGCATAGTGTATTTTGCTGCTTTTCTTTCAACCAGGAGCAGATGCTGCCTGCAGGATGCCCATGGCACGGTGTACAATGATGCCAGTGAGCAGCTTGCAAGAAGATGGTCTGCGAGTTCGTGTGGAAGCTCTCCTGCAAAGAGGAGCTGTGCTGGGGGCATTGCTTGGGGCTGAGTGGGGCACAGAGGGGCTGCTGGTGTTCAGGTGTATGGCATTACACGTGTCTTGGGATTGGGGCTTTGAGGTGGTGTTGTATGGGGTTGTGAGTGCAAATCTGCTGCTGCAGGCACTCAGAGCTGTGCCAAATATCGCTGGCAATTTGTCCTGTGGTGGCAGGAACTACTGTGGAAATTTATGGATTTTCCTCGGGTTTGGCATGGCAGAGCCCTCCCACCTGCTGCCTGTTGGGCTGTGTGTGGCGTTGGGCTTCTCCTCTTTGCTCCAGCTGCTCCACAGCCTGCCCGAAGTTGGGGTGCTCAGGGGGGGATCCCACCTTGTGCTGCTCCGAGCAGCTTGGGGGGGGCTTTCCCCAGCAGTGAGCAATAGGGAAAGCTGTGGGAAACACGAGTTTGCCCCCTCTCGCTGGTCTTCAGATGGGATACGGGGATGGTTGTGTAAGAGGGGCAGGGACTGCTACGCTCACCCGGTGCCGTGTGGCTGAGTCAGGGAGCAGGAATGCTGCGCTGGGCGCTCGCCGGGCGCTGGGGACGTTGAAGGCGATGGCGGCTGCGGTTTGCAGGGCTGGGCGGGGACAGCAAAACCCCGAGCCGAGAGCTTTGCACGCAACCGAACAATAATCCCATTATTAGAGCCCCGTGCCGTAAAACAAAACACGGTGCAAAAACGCTCCTCGGGCTTGCAGGGATGCGCGCCCAGGGGAGATGGCAGCACCTGAGTCATTGCTTAGAAAGGAATGGATTTCACCTCCCTCCTCCCCACCCCTGAGGAGAGAAACAATTCAACCCTTAAAACAAAACGACTTCTATTCTTTGTGTGTGCGCTTTGTTGTACTTGGCAACGGGGCTGCAATTAAAACTGAGACTCTCTCATATGCGCACACATGCAGCTCCCATCCCCGAGCTCCAGAGTGCACACGCAGCCATTCCTGTGCTTCCATCAGCTCAGGTGCTCTGATCCATCCAGCCACATCCACCCCGGAGCCCCAGGAGCCGGTTTGTTTGGAGGAGATGAGGGAAAAGGAGAAATTCCAGCCCGGCTGCCCCTTTCCTGGGGGAGATGCTATGGGGCCGTTGAGTTTCTCACTGAGGTTTAATGCCAGTCCCTTTTTTAATGTATATATTGGTGCTCTAAGCGTGCATTTAGTCTTGCATGGTCAGCCAGCTCTTGAGAACTGTGCCATCGAGTGCTGGGCTGTGACTCCTGAATGTTCCCATGGCTGCAATGCAACAGCTGCAAGCAGTGATGGGGGGTGTGGGGCAATGGTCCCTGTGCCACCTATGCACCCCATGCTGCTGTGTGTCCTGTGAAGTGCCAAGGGTTGGGGTTAGGGTAAAGCAATGTCAATCCAGCGTTGTTTCTATTGTAAATTCTTCTGACTGAAGAGCAATTCCAAACGGGGAAGGAGAGGAAATGGAGCAGTGTGGGGTCTGTGCGTGGCACCGCTCTGTTCTTAGTGCCTCTTTCCTTATTTCAGGGCTCTCATAGCAGTGAGGGGAAGGCAGTTGTGAAGGGACAGGGAGAGGTTATCCCTTAGGCTCTCGAATGTGCTGAGTTAAGATTTCTGGGATGCATTTCTATGCTTTGTAATCCAACGAGAGGGGTTCGTGAGAGCAGGAAACTGAGCCTGTGGGTTTATTTTAATACAATCTTACAAATTGCTGATGATAACTGAAAAGCTTTTGTGTCCAGAGCTGGTTTGCATGCGGGAATTGCTTAAATCTCTCTCGGCCTATTGCATTCTCATGTTCTTATGCAAACAATGAAACCATTACAGAGCCCAACACATGCTCTCTCCCCATCTCATCCTGTACAATCCTTCTGCTGTGCCTGAAGCAGAAAAGAGAACCTCTGCTCCATGTGAAAATCTTGGGGAAGAGAATGGCCTGGATCTGCTTTCCTTTTCCTGCAAAATAATTTCTCTGCCATAAATTTGTCATTGAGAGCCAAGGGAAGATTAGCTCATGTGGAAAAATGCGTGCGGGGAAACAGTGGAGGGAGAGACTGGAAAGGGCTGAGTGGACAGAGGGACCAATAGATGGACAGATGGATGGACGGACAGATAGATTGATGATGGATGAATGGACAGTTGGCTGGACAGGTAGACAGATGAGTGATGGATGGATGAACAGTTGGATGGATAGATGTGGCAGGTGGATGAATGGTTGGATGGGCAGACAGATGTGTGGATGGAGGGAGGACTGGCTGGATGGACGGACAGACAAATGGACCTACATCAGGAGCTGGGGTCTTTCCCATGGAACAGCCTTGGGATGAAGGAGGAGCTTTGGGAGTGATGCTGATCACCTGCCTGCTGTTCCTGGGCAGTGGCTGCTGTGCTGCTGTGAAAAAACCTTTCTGAGAGCAAGGAAATGTATCCAGACACCAAGGGGGCTCCAGGGCTTCTCAAGTCATTAAACAAATTAAGTTATTTAGAACATGGAGGCCCCAGATGACTGGGTGTGAAAGCCCTGCAGGCCTCTGTAATTGCTGTGCGGAGGCAGCCCTGGTGGGTGGGAGGGTGTCAGGGGATTTTGCCTTCTCCTGAAGTAGTCCCAGCCAGGTTTGGCTCCCTGGGGCTCTCTGGGTCTTGGTGGCAGCAGCACCCTATGCTGGGAGGCCTGAAGCAATGCTGTGGTCCAGCAGGTGCTGCTGTCCCTGCCCTCCTGGTGTGCTGCGCCTTCAGCTGGGCTCCAATCCCACGGGGGCTCGTTCCCTCTGACACCTGACAGCAGCTTTCCAAGGAAAGATGCAGAATTCCTGAATTTAGCTGCCTCTTCCTTTACAGTGTCAGACGTGCTCTGTGTTTAGACAAGATGACAAGCTGATAAGGCACCGCGCTGCAATCTCCTTTGGTGAGCTGTGAGCAGGAGCTTCCTCTGGGCTGGGATTGCACAGCGTCCTCTGGGCATGTTCTGGACGGACAGAAGCATCCCCAAATGTGTCCCCAGATGTGTCCCCACACTGTGCCACCGCGCTTTGATGGCACCTTCACCTCTCCTATCTTCTGCCCCCAGGATTTTGGACAGCCACAGCCCATTGATCTCACTAGTTCTCTCTCAGCAGGTGACTGAAGGTGCTCTGAGAAGTGCCACCATCTCCTAGAAGCCATCAGCCCTTCGTGTCCTGCTGGTCACGACATCTCCTGGTTGCGTGCGCTCATTTTTCCTATGGGGCGGTGCTGTGGGAGCTCAGCACCCTGAGTGCAAACCAGCAACGTGTCCTGCGAGTTGTGCTTTGCCAAGGGTTAAGGGCCAGGGGATGGGGTTTGGCAGCGTCTTGGCCACAGCATTCTGCCCACACCCTGGGCAGCGTGGAAAACACCGGTGAGAGCAGAGAAGTGGCCGAGGTTCCACCTCCACGGGGGTGGCTTCTCTCTTTTTCTTTCTCCCTCCCCCTCTCCTCGAAGCTCTCAGAAACAAGTGCTGTTTTATGGCAGATAGTTTACCAGCTGCACAAAGGCGGCCTTGTGAGGCTGAGCTCCAGATGTTTAGCATTTCACAAAAATCTCATCGTCAGGAACCTGCTTCGCCGGCGCACCAGCTGAGCCGCCTGGGAAGAGCCGAATTGCAGCCCTGCAGCCTTCTCCTCTCCTTCCTCTGCAGCTGTTGGCAGATCCTGGCCTCGTGGTGCATCCTTGCTGATGGGCAGCCCTGGGTGGGAGATGATGCAGGAGATAAGGGTTCACATATAAGGGTGAGGGGTGCAGGTCTGGGTGCTGGGCTGAGTGCTGTAGAAGAGCGATTGGCATTGCTCCATCCCCACCCCATTCCTTTCACTGCAATCCCTTAATTGTTTTGGGGAGAGAGGAAAAAAAAAAAAAAAAAATCACATGACAAAATACAGGGAGATAATTACAGTCAATTGCCTTCCTCTTATCTCCAGGGAGAGCACGTATAGCAAATAAAGCCCAGGGAATTAATGCTGGTGTTGACCGAGGCTCCCCGGTCCAGGCAGTGAATGGCAGGAGGGGCTGATTTACTGCCACTCTTTGCAGCTATATTCGGTGTTTTATTGCAACTCTAATTACTGCTCCCGTCAGGATCTCGCAGTTCCCTTTGCCACATGCAGAGGATGGAGCAGCCCTGGTCACAGCAATGCTCTGCACTCTCCCTGTCCTGCCCTGCCATGGTGCCATGCCCACAGGAATGTGTGGCTGGTTGGGTTCGCTTGGCTGCCTCCCCGAGAAGTGGGAGCTGGGGGAAACGAGGCTGCAAGGTGCATCCCTGGGTGCAAATATCCCAAGGACACTGTGCTTTCAGCAGAGCAGGGCTGGGGGAGATGGTGATGGGCAGAAAGATCTCACCTGGGCAAGGCAGAACCCACCCCAGGGCTCGCTAGGATGTTCCATCTTTGGGATACAGCATGAAGATGTTGCAGCATGGGGACAACTGGAGAGTGCATGCCAACTCTAGCAGCCCCATATCCCCAAGCAGCCCCATGTCCCCAGCATCCCCCGGTCCCCAGCAGCCACTCATTCTCATGCAAAGCCTGTAAGGAGGAGAGAAGGCACCCAGCCACTGGGGAGCAAAGACGGGCAATGAAGTAATCCTCCCCCAGCACTCGGAGCACATAAAGCACCGTGGAGCACAAGTGCCTCTCTGTCCCCTCTCTTTCTTCTCTTTCCCTTTAATACTCTCACTCCTTTGTCCCCATGCATTTGCTCCTGGTGCTGCTGGTCCCTTTGGGCTGCTCTCTGGCTGCCCATCCCCACAGGACCCTCTGTGTCTCCCACTGAGGTGCTCCCAGTGCCACCTGTTTTCTCCCTTTCCCTTTCTAGGACACCTGATTTATTTATTTTCTTTATTACTATTATTATTATTTTGCCACTGGTTTAGGGTCTATTAAGTTTACTCCTTCTTCCCCTTGCCCTGGGAGACCTGGTTAATGAGTAACCATAGCGTGCTTGGAGGCAGCTGTCTCAGACAAACTGACGGAGACTTTTTTGGAGCTGCATAAGGGAACGTTTGTTCTGCAGCTTCTCAATAGATCCTTGTGCAGGAGGCAAAAAGTGTGGGGAGAGAAAGAAAGAGACACTAAATCACGGGGCTCCTTGAAAATCTCGCTCAGTGTGTGTGTGTGGTTTTATTCCTCGTTATAATGGATGTTCAGTGAGTCACCTTTTCGAGCTCAAATCACGAATTTCTGTGGCAGAGAGCGCAATGTACTTCTAACAGCATTTCAGCTTTAAAGGTCTTATAGATTAAATTAAATATAAAACTCAGCCCATAGATACGCTGGCACGGGGTCAGCATCGCATGGGTTGGTGTTCTTTGCCCCACTCCCTGGGTGGATTTGGCCTCGTGTTCCACCCAGACCCTCCCATCACTTCCATAGGGGGGCATTTGGGAGCTGAGGTTGTTGGGGTCAATCAGACCCTCACCGTCCCTGTGTTGGGATACCCAGGTGGGAGCTGGAGGATCACTGTGCCACAGGGCTGCTGCGTGCCCTTGGGAGCAGCATTTAAACAGCTCTTCCCTGCCTGGGCTTTGTCACTGTGCAAACAGGTGACGGCTGTGTCCTTTGTCCCACAGCCTTTCTTGGAGGTGGAAGGGATGTTGAGTGTGCAGAACTCACAGCAGCTGCTCTGGCATCGCTCCCTCTTCCAATGGCTCCTTCATTTCCCAGACACCCACGTTTGCTATCAGCAATGATTTTCCCCCTCTCCCTCCCAGCTCTGTGCACAGAACCCATTGATGCTCCTCTTGTGGTCAGCCAGAAACAGGGAGAAAACCAAACCCACGTCACAGCACTTTGTTACAAAACCTCAAGTTGTTTTTATTTTATTTTATTTTATTTTATTTCTTGAACTTCGGGTTGGTTCAAGTTTTGGGCAACGATTCAGGTTGTTTTTGTTTTACCTGAAATGCAGCTCGCCGTTCCCTGGAGCAAAAGCTCTTTATTGGCCCTCACAGACATTTGGCACTCTCGGCGAATGAAATAAAAAGCTTTTTGTTCCCATATTTCAATATATCACTATATACTTAGCCCATGTGGGGAGGGTATCTGGAGGGCAGAGGACTTGCAGAGGTTTCAGAGCGCGTGTCTGATGGGAGCTCATTCCCACACCTCCCTTCCCATTTCCCCTTCATTTAATCCATGCTGTGCCCATCTCTAACCGCCCTCCCCATGTGATGCTGGTGCTCTGTCAGCCCTGTAGTGCTGCAGCCCCAAAGCCAGGCTGAGAGACAGAGCACCATATGCATCCCCAGCCAAAATCCCTCCTCTCCCCATCTGCACAGAGGATTTCCTGCTCTTAAAAGCTCTCACAAACAACTCTGAGCCCCATGGCTGGAGGCTGCAGGTTGCACTGATCCATGTTCTGCAGCTGTGGGGCCAAACCCCTCCCTCCTTCCTCAGGTGCCCTGCAAGGATAAAGGATGCTTTCAGCTGGGAAAGCACTGGTCTGCTGTGACTTGGGAACATCTGGCTGACATTCTGAAGCCTGCAGGCTCTCATGTAATGATCCTCATTCCCTGACCTGCAGCATTTTATCTCTCTCTATGGTGACTCCACTCCCTGCCCACACCACCCGTGCAGGGCACTGTTCTAATTAAACCTCAAGGCTTTGCTCCCTTCTCCCCTCCCCATCCCAGCAGCTGCTGAGGAATGTGGGGCAGGAATGCTGTCCTCTCACAAGGAGCTGGGAAGGGGAGGTGGTGGCTCTCCCATAAAACAATGTCTTTGTGTTTGCAGGATCACAGGCACGCAGGGCCCCGTTTCATGCTCCAGCCCTGCTGGGTGCTGGCTCACCTGGCAGCAGCACACAGCATTCAGCATCTCCCAAACCTTTTGCACTGACTTCACGCTCCTGTAAAACTGGAGTTGGGATCCTCCAATAAATCAAAGCCAAGCTCTGCTGCAAGCAAGTTGCTCACCTCTGTGCCAGCCCTGTGCTCAGAGCTGCATGGAGCTGGGTGGGCTGTGAGCAGAGCCTTGCCCATGTTTTACAGTGCATTGCTCCATTAGAGTGCATCACTCTGTCACAGTGCATCGCCCTGCTACACTGCTTTGCCCTGTTACAGCATACTGCTCTATTCCAGTGCTTCACCCTATTTCAGTGCATCATGTGTCCTGTACGCATGCTTCTGGAGGCAACAAGAGCAGAAAAGGAAGCAAAACTTCCCAATGAAGCTACCAAAATGGTAACTTGCCTGGAGAAATCCAGAGCCATCTGAGCAGGTGGTTCTGTGCCACCAAGCTCTTCGTCTTCCTGCTGATGTTGGCCCTTCAAAGACACAGCTCCAGTTGAGAAGCCTTCTCATGGACTCCAGAGGACGTTGGGCACTCATCCTGCCTGTGAGCACCATATGAAGTGCTCCCTGCCCAGCTGGATGTTACTTTGCTCCAGTTTTGGCTCTGTCTTTCTGTGCATATAGGACCAGGGCTGCCCCATGAGCAGAGCTGAGCAGGGCAACAGGAAGGGACACCTGGGGGCTGCAGGGGCTGCTGCAGTGCCACGCATAGGAGCTTTTCCCAGCACTGCTCCTTGCTGCTGGTTGCACTCCACTGCTTGCCAAACAGGTTTTAATTTAGAGAATGCGAGGATGAAAAAGCAGCACAACCCCTCCTCCACAGCATTAAAATTTATATATATTTTCCTTTTAATATACCATAAACGATGACCTTTTACCTCCCTCAGAATGCAGCCAACACAAGCACAACAATGTGATTTGTGCAGCATTTCAGCTGCGGTTTCTTCAAGAAATTCATCTGGTCTCCAAGCAATTAAGGGAAGGGAAGCATTTCCACTCCAGCTTTGGGCCCTGAAAACCTGCCAGGAGGTTTTCCCCCTCCCTTTTCTCGCCCTCTTTCTCCCTCAGCCCCTTGCTCACTTGTCCTACAACACTCCTGCGGTTTCACTGCTGTGGTTTCCCTCCTGCAGCAGAGGATGCAGCCCTTTGCAGTGCAGGTGGGACGTTGGCTCCCAGCCCCTGTGCAGCCACTGGCTGGGAGATGGCTCACCCAGACCGAGCCTAATGGGATTTGGGGGAGCATATGGTCACCCCCTCCACACACCAACACCTTCTGTACTCTTCACCCTCTCCTTTGCCTAAAATCTGTCTGCAAAGGGGCTGTGCAGAGCTGTTTGTCCTTCCATTGCCACCTGCCTTCTTGAGGTCTCCTTTGGAGTATTTTCCTGTACAGAAACGGGGACTGAAGTAAAAGTGGTCGGGGGGGAGCACAGAGCAGAGGGGAGATGCGTGGGGAAGGATCAGTCCCATGAGGGCATACAGGACAGGCTTTGCCTGCATGGAGCACGCTCACAAGGATGGGCCTTAAATCAGCCCGCACGTCAACAGTACAGTTAATTGCTCATTCATCCCACAGATGGGTTAATCATTAATTTAAATTAATAATTGGGCCAATCATTAAACTAAACAATAACTAATACACGGGACAATTGAAACGATAACTCTCGGTGCTGAGAGCTCGCCGGCGTTACTCATTGACCCGCAGTTTATGGGATGGATCCGCCAGGGGACGGAACGCGCTTACAGCCCCCCCCCCCCCCTCCCCGGACGCACGCATAGACGGAGGGAGGGAGGGAGGAACGGGGGGAGGCGGCTCCCGGCCCGGGGGAGGAACTACAAGTCCCGTGAAGCCGCACCGCCCGCCCTCCCGCCCGCCGCCAGCGGGGCTTTATAAGCGGGGAAATGGCCCAAACGCCGCAGTCGGAGCATCTCTGGGCGCGGTGGTGCGGGCTCTGTTCGGGCACGGAGCGGTAGCGATGCCGGACCGATTCCCCCCCTCCAATCGCATCTCCCCCCTCGAGCATCTCGGGATCGTCCCCTCCGGGAGATGTGAGCGCGGATGATGGTGGTGGGGTGATGCGGCGGCTGGGAGGCGGCCCGCTGAGGTAGGCTTCTCGCTTGGGGTCGGGGGAGGGGAGAGTGGGGCGTCGGAGGGGGTCCCGGGCATCTCCTCGGCGGTGCCCGCTGCCCCTCCGATGGGCTCTGGCCCTGGCTCGGCCGCCTTTGTGTCCGGGTGGCTTTGGGGTCTGTGGCCGGGGGATGCTCCGAGGCTGGGAGCCAAGGGGCTGGGCTGGCAAGGATCTCTGTAAGAAAAACCATGAAGATATTATCTCTTTTTTTTTTTTTTTTTTTAATGTTTTTAAAAGATTTTATAATTTTTATCTTATGACTTCTCCCTTTCCCACCCGTGGGAGAGCCTCTGTAGAAAGGCTCTATGCTACAGAGGGGCTGTGGGCAGGTGCCTGGCTGGGGTGAGGGGAGGCCCTGAGGAGCCTCAATTCCCCCTTCCCCCCCTCTATTGGGGGCCTAGGGCTCTTCCCCACCTTCTCGTGCTGTATACACGGAACTGGGGACGCTTGATGAGGGTGGGTGGTGTGAGGTATCTGTGATGCACAAGAGCACTTGTGTGAACGCTGGAAAAAACATGAATGAGTCCCTTCTCTTGCTCACTACAACAAAAAGACCACACCGGTCTAGACCTGCAACCAATAACACACAAATTAGTGCTGTCTGCTCCTGGGGATGCAGTGCACTGAGGACAACGCCAGCCCTTCCTGTTGGAGTCCACTGATCTGTATGGAGGGTGAGGGATATGTTTGGGGAGAGGATTTTTGAGGTTACTTTGATATAAACAAGAGGAGCTTTTATTGCCCGGACATTGTTAGTGTTGCTCTCTGCTGGATTGGAATGCATTTCCTCTGAAGGGTTTTGAGATGGGAGGAATTGCTCTGCTCTCCTGCTAATTGAGACATCTTTTTATAATCACAGTCCCAGCTGGTGGGGTGGAAGCAGGGGGGAGAGGGGAGCTGCTGAGTAGTGACTCAGGCATGGGGAAATGCTGCCTGCTTTTAGAAGGGCAGCTTTCAGCTTAGAGGTGTATGTGAGGGCGCCTTCCTCCTCCCCAGTTCGTTCTGTGCTGTCAGACAGGTGATGAGATCACTGATGTCCCAAAGCCACCATGTAAAATTATGGATGGGTGGGAAAATCTGCATGCCTCCATCCTCCCACAGATGTGGGGTCACACCTGTGCTCCTGGGGTGGCAGTGTGGGGCACAGGGGGTGTTGCAATGCTTGGGCTCTCCTTCCTCAAAGGCTTTGGTGCTAGTACTGCTTGGACTTGTCTTTCCTATTGTGCTGCTTGTTTGCTGGTTGCTTTCCACGTGCAGATCTCTAAACCAACCCCTCAGGTTTCATTCCATGGGTTGGCAGGAGCCTTTCCTGGGGTGCTGTTGAATGGTTGAGCCTTAGCAGCCCTCTGACAACGGGGAAATAACTTCTTGATGAGAAGAGGGCCTGTAACCCAAAGTGTGAAGCTGCACAAGCATAGCATGTGTGAAGAGAAATGCAATCCACGTCTTCATTGACAGGGGGAAGTTATAGCTAACGTTAGAGCCATGGACATTCCCTTCATGGTGTCTCCTGAGCAGGGAGGGCTGTGCTGCAGGAGTTGAGTCTCTGGAAGGTAGGGGCATGGGGAAGCTGCTGGGCATGGGATGTGTTGTGCTGCTGGCAGCCACCTGTGGGTTCAGGTGGGGTTGGTGCTGATTGGGATGTTGGTGCCGCAGCTGCAGTGTTGGCAGCACTGATTTACTGGCTCAGACCTTCTTACCTGCAGTAATGGGGAGATAGAGGCCATGGTGGAAGTGACCTAAATGGTTTAAACCATGAATCTCCTGGCCTTTGCTAGGGCCAAGTCCCCCAGGTTCACCCTGCAGCCTTGAGCTCTGGGGAAGGCAGCTTCACCCTTTGGGTTTGGGAGAAGAGAGCTGCCCTGAGCTGGAGAAGATTGGTGGTCACAAACACTTGCAGGGGATGTAAGCAGCTATAAATTAAGCTGTGGGCTCAGTATTTAGAGCAGCTCACCTGTACCTGACTGCTTCAGTGCAATGCAGCTCTGTGGGCTGCAGAACAGCGAGGGCTCAGAGGACATTGGGACCAAGGTCTCTGAATGTAGTGAAGAACAGCAATGAAACATAGGAGCCTGGGCTCTGAGGTGCTCTGAGGGCTGGACATGGGCATGCATTCCTCTTGTGTTTGGTTTCAAATACACTTAATATAGGAGCATTGCTTCCCCTCAGTGGGATGGGTGTTTCCTAACAGCAATTGGCTCATCTTTACCAGAGGGTTTGAGATGGTCTCTTCTATCCAGGAGAGCATCCAGACTTCCAGTGAGCCAAGTGCCTTCAGTGAGGGGAGATCAGATGCCTCAGATCCCAGACAATGGGGGGATAAGGCAGCAGCACAATGCAGCTGCTGGGGGCTCTTCTGTTTGACCTTCCAGTAGAAGGGAAAAGCAACAAAAGGGAGGGTAAGGAAAGCACGGTGCTTTGCCAGTTACTGAGGCCGGCCAGAAAGTTATAATGGCATTACAAAGGGCAGCCTTGTTCAGAGTGGCTTATTTCATCAGAAAGATGAATTTAAAATAATAAAAGGGGCAAATGCTGGCGTAAAGTCCCCTCTGTTAGTGTAAACACTGCAGGAAAACCCTTTTATTAGGGACTTAAAGGAGGTAGTAAATAAGGTTGGGTTTTGATGAGAACTCTTAACACAGGATTAGGGTTTACGGGGCGTTACCATATTAGCCCCTGGGGATGGAGCTGGGTTTTGTGTAGCTTCGTGTCCTGCTCTGCTTTTAGGGCTTTGTTTTCTCCGCTTTTCCTGCTGGGTTTTCCCTCCTGTGGTGGCAGGCAATGCAGTTGGAGGGCTAAAACCCAAGCCTTGAAGTAAATGTTTGATTCCCTGGGTAGTTATGGAGCTCTCCTGCAGAAATGGAGCTCAGGGTGGGTTTCAAATCGGGACAGGCTCTCTGCAGGCCCTTCTTGCTGTGGTTTTGTTCTTTCTTCTTGCCTCTGGAGCTGTCAGTGGTCTGGTATAGCTGCAGCAGAACTGCCAGTGCTCTCACAGAAGGCAATGCCCAGTGATGGCTTTCAGTGGAACTCTAAGACAACCTCTAATGCTCTGTGACAGCAGGTTGCTGCGTGCTGCGCACTACTGCATGGAGGCTTTGGGTTGGGAGAGTGCTGCAGGGAACTTTCCTTTGGGATATGTGTTAAATACTGCTTTTTGGCAGGTGGAACTCTTCTGCTCATCTTCCCATGCAGATGAGCTCAGTGCTGGGGTTGGCTCATCCCTGGGTAGGCAGCACCTCTGGGAGGCAGAGGAGCAGCACCTGGGTGCTGCTGACACCAAGAGGCAGCCTGGCTCACTCAGAGCTCCGTGCCCAAATGCCTTTTTGGTGGGAAATAAGCTCCAGGAATGAAGCTGGCAATGACTTGTCTGTGTTTCCAAGACAGGAAAACACTGCTTGGCTGCTCCTGGGAGCCCCCCAGCAGAGCCTGTGGCTGAGTGCTGGCACCTCAATGAACAGCAGAAAAGCCTGGTGACTATGGGCAGGTCTTGCTTGCAGGGGAGGTGGTTCTCCATCAGCCCTGCTTTGAGGCCAGCTGCAGCTTTGTAACATATGCTTTATTTGGAGCACATGGTGCCAGCATCTCCTCTTTCCTGCACGTGAAGGAGGGCACGGTGCCCCCCTCTGAGGGGACAGTGATGAGCAGGGCTAATTTTGGGGTGGAAAAGCAGCCACATTTGGGTTGTGCTGCAGTGCAACCTGCAGGTGTGTGCACTGAGCATCCTGCTCAGACACAGAGGGCATCAAGAGCTGGATGTGGGCACTGGAAGTGTTTGGCATACAAGCGTTTGATGCAAACACTGAATTTTGCTGTGAGTAGAATTACCTGGAGCTCATCAGCCAAGCTGCAGTGGCATCACAGCTCCCTTGGAAAAAAGGGATCCGGGTGGTGATGGGTGGCCCCAGGTCCTGTGTGTCCCAATGGCAAACATCACATCTGCCCAGCTGAGGGGGAGGGAGGGCTTCCAGTTCAACAGCCTGGATGGGAAATAATGATCCCTTTTCTATAGCTTCTCCAATTGTTCCCAAAAATCCTTTTTAAAGGGAGGAAAGTTCCTTCCTTCCTTTCAGCTCCCGGTATCTTTAAGAATTCACTCTATTGTGGCCCAGGACAGAGACCCTTCTATGAGGGCTGCATTAGGCACTCTTCAGAGGCCCCCTCCCCTGTGCCCCCCCGCCCCATCCCAACAAACCCCCATTCTCCTCTGAAGAGGGTCCCTCTGTCTAACGCCAAGTAACTCTTAAGGGTAGCATTTATCCCCGGGCACTCAGCACACAAAGAGTGCCGGAGTGTCAAATAAACTCACTCCAGCCTGCAAAGAGAAGAGGAAGAAAATACAAAACCCCCTTTATTTCCACCCCTGCAGGGAAACAAATACGGACTTTGTGCTGGAGAGCAGCAGCGCCCTAACGAAGCGGGGCAGTCCCAGTGTGTCCCCATAAAGTGCTGTGCATGCTGCAGTGCTTGGGAGCGTGGAGCCATCAGACAAGTGCTAAATCAAAACCCCTCCTGAGGAATCCTGTGTGCTGCAGTGACGGCGTTCCAGTGACTTCTGTTTGTTTTTGAGGGAGGATGATGCTGGGTCCCCTGCCAAGGGGCAGTGGGGTCTGCAGACCCACAGAAGGGCTCAGCACAGCTCCTGCTGTGCTCATTTCATCAGGGCATCCTAGCAGTGGGGGAATTCTGCTCCCTGCCCCACTGCAGGGTGCTTGGCCGTGTTGTCCTGCTGAGGATTGTCCTCTTTTTGTAGCTGGGTTGTTGTTTCTTGTGTGTCAGACCTGCTGCAGGTCACTGCTGTTCCTTCATCCTGACGTGTGTTTCTCTGCAGGTTTTGGTACCTGCCATTGCTGATGGGCAGATGGATGTGATGGCTGTTGGAGTGTCCTTTGTACCTGGAAGAGAGAAGGCACAATCAGCCTGACCGTGTGTGGGTTTGGGACTTTCTCCCCTTTGGCCAAGCAAGGAGGATTTATCTTGAGACTTCTGGCTGCTGGGATATCGCACCTGGAGCCCTCATGGACTGCCGTGGGTTTTGGATGCACCCTTCTGCCTGGAGCTGGAAATGCGTGCTGCTGCCAGGTGGCCACAGACACCTGCTCCTCTAAACCTGCTGGATTATTTCTTTTGGCATCACTCAGCCAGCGTGGCAGCTTTTCCTCAGCTCGTGCAACTGCCTTTGGTGTTTGAGATCACCTGACTTGCAGATGTAGAAAGCTGCAGTTGCAGCCCAGCCTGCAGACACCTCTCCTTTTTGGGCTACTATTTCTCAGCGTTGCAGCACTTTGGGACAAGACCCCGTCCATACACATGTGTGGGAATGTCCTGCTGGTCTGAGGTGAGTCAAGGATTTGATTTCCTTCTTTTTTTTAAGATTTTTTTTTCCTACATTTTTGGGAAAGGAGGCGAAATCTAGTTACCTACTACTCAGGAGCAGTGGAGTAGATAGAGGTTTGCTTTGGAAAGCTGACATGGCTTTCATCTCCTACTTCAGTTATCTTTTCAGCACTGTCTGAGCCTGAAATCTCGTGCTTTCTTTCTGAGGTTGCTGCAGAATAATGGACAAAGCAGTGGGAGCGCAGCATCCTGCAGGCAGGTTTCTCTTCCTTTCCCTGGAAAGGGGGAACCCTGCTGGCTTGCTGTGCTTGTAAGTGTGTCATAGAGGGTGGTGAGAGCTGTGTGGGGTGCTGCCACTTGTGGGGCTTATTGGGAACAGTGCGGGGCTCATCTCAAGGGGGGGGAGCGAGAGCAGGGAGGTGAGCTGTGAGTGAGTGGGCAGAGGGAGGTGAGCTGTAAGCCTCCTTGAAACAGCAAATCCACTTTGGAGAAGGCAGGGGAACGCTGGAAAACGATGCCAGGCCTTTGGTGTGTGTCTTTATTTTTCCTTTGGGCAGGTTTGTGTCGGCAGTGACATCAGCAGGATGCTGAGATGTGCCCAAGGGGCTCTGCAGGAGGAGCTGGGGGTGGGAATTAACACAGGGATTCTGGTTGTGCTGGTGACTGTTGTGCTGGGGGAGAGGGGCTTCTCCTGCTGTCCTGGAGAGCATTTCCTGGGGCTCTGTGCCCCAAAGCACCTCAGACTCCTGTGCCATCCCTCATGGTCCTTTGCTTGGGCCCCGGTCCAGCCTTCTGTGCAGCCCATTGCCAAGAGGGGAATGCAGTTGTTTTGTCTTGGCTTTCCTCTGAGACCAACCCGCTGATAGAACATAACTTTCATGGTTCCTGTGTGCTTTGGGGAGGATGTTCCCCTTCAAACCCTGTTTACTGCCCAGGCTATAAGCCTGCAGGTGCTCTGTTGCTTTGAGCTGAGGTGGATCCCATTTATTTCTGGGTTACGGAGCAGAAATGGCTTTCTTGAGATAATGCTGTGGCTCACCCTGCCTAGACTGCTTTCTGTCACATGTTTTCCTGTAGTGAGCTTTGGTGTGGGAGAAACGCGGCTGAGAAATGTGATGAACAAAGGGAAAGTTGCTGTTGTGACAAGCTTCTTGAAGTACGCTTCTGTTTTGAGTTAGAGCTCATGTGTTGTTGGTATTCAGCCAGGCCAAAAGTCTGATGCAGGCTGGTGGGAGTGTGAGGTCTGTGCTGGTGTCCATTTGGGGCAGTGCAGCTGTGTGTTCTGCAGCAGCTGAGAGGTTTTCTCCACCCGTGTGGATGAAGGGAAGCAGGAGATGTAAGGATGCTGTTCTTCCAGCTGAATGCAAATACAGGAGAGGATGTGGTGCGTCCTCCCCAGAGGCAGCTCTGCCAGCTGGATGCTTTTCAGTATGGATGGAGAAGGCAAATGCAAACTTGGAGAGGCATCTGGCTCATGCTCACTTTGCACTGCACGCACCCAGCTATCTGAGCAGAGCTGGGATGCTCCCAGCTCAGATGTTCCCAGTTCCTCTGTTGGCATCTGTCTGGTGCTGTTATGAAGCTCTGTCTCTTCCCAGAGCCTTGTGGTTGTGGTTTTCCCAATGAGCATCTGAATGTACCAAGCACTTGAGTTTATCTCCTTGCAACAAGTCCTTTGGCTTTCTGTCCCTGAACTACAGGGAGGGGGGATGATATCACGTATTTCCTTTTGTTGGTAGCACAGCAGCTTGAGACCAGATCTCCTTGGGGTAAGGCAAGGCGGAGACTCCACCCCAAACAAGTGTAATGCAGCTTGGCTCTCTAACAGCTTGTGCAATAAGGGGCCAGGCTGGTACTTCTGCCTCTGTTCTGCTATCTTCAGCTGTTTGAGAGGCGAACTGTAAACGAGGATCTCCACTATCGGCTTGGCTGCTCTCTCCACTTGTGTAACCAGCGATGCACCAAGCCCTGCTTGCCCCCTGGGGTGTCGCTCTCCTGAGACGCCGCGTGTCTCGATGGCTGTCGGTTCTGTGTGGTGTTGCGCTCCCTGGGAACTGCAGGAAGGCTTAACTGGGATCCCCCTACAGAGAGCCTTACCTCCACTTGCAAGCAGTGAAAACTCACAGACGTTAAGTCGGGAAATCCCATCGCTCTCTCCGGTCTGCTAACGACTCCTTGCGGCGGAGATAACTGAGCCTTTCCCAGCTGCCGTCGTTCGGGATCCGTCCCCGGGCGGAGCGGCACAACGGAGTCGATCCGGGGCCGCGCTGCCACCTGGCGGCGGCGTTGGGCAGAGCCGCGCTGTGCGCCCGGCGATGGGCGCTGGTTTGACAAGGGCTGCCGGATTTCTGCTCAGAGTTGAGGAAAAAAACCCGAATTCTACAGTTCCTTCCGGCTGAATGGCTCTGAGTGTGGGCTGCTGGGCTCCAGCGGCCTCAGCTGTGCTTCCGTGGTTTTCTGTTGGGGCTGCGAGGACCAAAGTGAGCATCCTCGTGTGTTGTAAGCTGTGGTGTGGCTTCTAGGATGGGCTGGGAGGAATGGAGCATAGAGAATAAGTGGTGTGCGTGTGTGTGTGTGTGTTTACCTGGAATGATGATCTGTGGGGATCTGTGTAGGTTTAGGTCGCCAGTGCATTTTGGGTGCTTCAGATAGTGAAAGAGTGGCTGTGGAAAGGATGCTATGGTTGCAAAATGCGACTGTGACCGTGGCAAGGGAAGGGCAGAAAAGAAATGTGTTTAGAAGTGCACCTTAGAAATCTGTTTTGGATAAAACTGAATCTCTGTTCACAACAAACGCTTCTGCTCCCCTTCCCTTAACAGAAGTCCAAACAAATAAAACAGAAGTTAAGAGTAAGTAACTCTTTCTGATGCTCATCGGTGCTTTGGGTGTGACAGATGGGAGGATTTCTCTCTGTTTCTCTTTATCAGGTATCTCCTCTTGGCTTTGATTGGGAAGTTTGGTGCTGCTACTGCTGAGGCACAGCTGTTAGCTTTGCAAGGAGCTGCAGATTCAGGTGGTGGAATGCCCAGATTCAGGGAGGGGCTGGACATGGGTCCCAGCAGGGCAGTCCCTGCCCTGTGCCTGAGCATCTGGAGAACATCCCTGGAGCTCTCTTGGTCCGTTCTTTTCTGCTTCTGCTTTGAAGAAGTGGGAGCCCTTAACTGCCCGTGAGGAGCACGGATTGGTGCAAGAGCACAGAGCTGCAGGAGGAGCCTTGCTGTCTTCTGAGATGCTCACTGGCAAAGCAACGGAGAGATGGGCAAATTACATGAAAGGGAAAAGAAATACCCGCGAACCTCGTGTCGCCGTGCCAGTCTGCTCCCTGCAAATGCCAACGATGCCCTTCTCCCAGCTGCAGAACACCGGGCCGCAGCCCGAGACCTGCCGGGCGATGCGAGCGGGTGCAGAGCAGCGGTGACCGCTAGGAGGCGCTGTGGCCCCGGCCGCCGGGTGGCGCTGCTGTTTCGCCGCTTGGTGGCGCTGTGGCTCCGCCGGTGGCGGACTCCGCTGTCCTCGGGCTCGGAGCCGCGGGGTGGATCGCAGCGCTTTGGGTGTCTGCCCTCCTGCTCCCCGAAGTGCTGCGAAGCTGTTCTGGCAGTCGGGTTTGGATGTGGTTGCAGACAGAGAAGAGGTGGCAAACGGCTTGTTGCAGTGCAGGAGAAGAGGGAGGCTGTGTAGGCCTGGGAGCATCATCGTGCCCCGTGCTGGCTCAGGCACAGTGGCTCCCAGGGAGTGCTGGGCTGGTGGCTGACCCGGTGCTGGGTGGTGCTTTGGGACCTGAACTGAATCCCTGACGAGTTTGTTCACTGTCTGCAGATCCCAACATCAAGGTGCAAGGCCCACGTCTCTGCTTCCTTTCCCCAGGTTTTTGTGGCAGCCAAATTCACAGGGTATGATGGCAGTGCAGGATGGGGCTGGGGAGCGAGCAGACTTGGGGGGGCTGTAAGTGTGATCTCTGTGGATCTGGCTTCAGCCAAAACCAATTGATGTGTACAACTTAATAGATTTGTCTGAAAAGCTGCAGCAGAGCCATTCCTTTGGTGTCCTCTTGAGCGTGCACTGAGCAGGCCCCCACCTCCAGCACTCCTGGACTTGGGAGGGTTTGACGTGTTGCTTTCCCCCTGAAAAATACATTAGGAAGGCTGCTGCTCTGCTGTCCCTAACTTCTATGGCCTGACTTCCTCAGGTGAAGAAGGGCTGGGAGTGCTGACTGGCTCAGCATTTCCACATTGTGCTGTCTGGAAGCGGGTGAATAATTACAGGATAAAGCAGTGTGTTTGGCTGCCTCAAAAAGCACTTCCAGATCAGTTCCAGACTGCTTGGTCGGCACCATTCACATTGAAAGATTTTACTGTCCAGGCTGCCTCCTCCATAGCTGGAGCCAATGGCAGATTCCACCGGGGCTACCAGCCTGGAGCCGGGTTTCCATGGTGAATGCATTTGGGTACTGCACTGCTTCCCAAAAACTCTGGGCTTTTTGTGCTGTGAGTATCACAGCTTGCCCATGGTGGCTGCAGGAGGGCTGCCTGGAGGCACGGCTGCTGAGCTGGGATGCTCTAAAAGCCACCAACAGCTGGAAGCTGTACCCTCAAGTCAATGAGTGGCCTTGTCCTGCTCTGCATGGCAGCGATGGGAGCCCTGTGCTGGGCACCCCCTGGCACTCTGCCCTTCATTGCCTTGTGGGGGAACTTATCTAGCTCACTGTTGTTCCCTTGTGTGCTTTCCTAAGGCAAAGGAGGTTCTGAGGTGTTCATCTGGCCCACAAAGACACCTGGGTGTGCTGGGAACTGTGCGCTGTGGTCCTTTGGCACTCTCTTCTCACTGATATGTTCAGCAAACAAAACCGCCTGCTTTGTATCCTCCTCTGCTTTCCTTCCCCACGCAGAAGGGGGAGGGAGAAAAATGGCTAAAATATTTTCTTGCAACAAAAGGCTGAGGGTGAATCTGGATCAGCCGTCTGGATCCATCTGAGGCCAAATCTCCAGGGTTCTCAGCGGAGGA